GCGCGTCCGCACGGATGCGTCCGCGGGCTTCGCGCCCTGTCTCTTATACACATCTGTGGCCCACACAGGCCGACAAAGGTTGCATCGAGCTTGCACGCCGGCTGCTCGACGATGGCGCTTCGCTCGCCTCACGTGACCGCTTTGGCGCAATGCCCCTGACGCTGTCTCTTATACACATCTAGATGTGTATAAGAGACAGGTGTAGTGGTGTCTGCTCGTATCAGCACCACTATCACTGCAGGAGGCGTTTTTGTGAAAAAAAAAAAAAAAAAAAAAAAGGGTCGGGTAGACTTTTGAGGTTATTGTAGCTCGGTGGAGTGAGTCCACGTCAAGCAAGAAATCGATTGAAGCAAGCAGCATGGCGGATGGTGGCTATGGCGGCCAGAACTGCAATTGTTACAATTGCGGCTTGTGCGGCCATTTTGCACGTTGGTGCCCGTATCCTCCATGCAACAACGGATATGCGGGTTCCCCAAGAAACGACGGTTATGGAACTGTGAGCTCGGGAGCTAATGCGGTCCCGGTCAGGAATGACAGTTTTGTGCAAGGAAGGCCGATCCTCGCACCGCCTCAACCTCCACTTGCGAATGGACAGCAAGCACCTGGTCAACACGGGCAGCGATTTGATCCCCCGCCTCCGCCTCCACTGCTTCAAGCTCCACCGGCCGCACCAAGTGCATCTAGTGCTATCGTTCCATATCAGCCTCCCGCGCAAAACGTTGTTGTTCCCTATCAACAGCCACGTGGCGGTTCTAATGGGAATGGGTCACGTGCTTGGAATAATAGGCCACGTGACGGGGGTGGAGAAGGGGAGGGGTTGATGATATTAAGAGAAATTTGGAATGAAAGGCGGGAGGAAAGGGAGAGAAGACGTGAAGAGGAGGATCGAAGGGTGAGGGAAGAGCAAGCTAAACTGGCTCGAGAGGAAGAGCAGAGAAGGTTCGAACAAGAGGAAAAACGTGAGGCCGATCGTGAGGCTCGTTTGGCCAGTATTCTTCGTGAACAGATGGAGGAAATGGAGGTAAAGAAGGAGGCGTCGACAGATACTAGCAAGAAGAATTGGGATAGAATCGATCCGCCGTCGAAAGAAGGGGATAAGAACAAATCCGGAGAGAGCACGGATAGCAAGAAACATGATCAAGGTACCATGGCGGGTGAATCTGTTGATCCGCAGCAACAAGGAAGTGGTAGACCGCGTGTAGAAAACGCCGCTACCCCGTTGGACACGGGGCTCATCAGAATGGACATCGATCCGGTTAGAAAGGCGCAAGAGGCGCAAGCGGCAATGTTCCATCAGATGCTGACATGTCTCGAAGCCATTAGACAACAGGGTGCTGGTTTAGTTCCCACGACCGTGTCAAGCTCGCAGGATCCAGCTGCGAATCCTGGAGTCCCTCCAAGCACCAATCCTCCCGCACCTCCTGCTTATCAAACTGCTCCCCCTCCTACTTATCAAACTGCTCCCCCTCCTACTTATCAAACTTCTCATCCTCCACCTCCTGCTCAATCTCCCGCTCCCGCTCCTGCGCCACCCAATCCTCCGGCTCCTCAACCACCTAATCCTCCTCCTCCTCCGCCCCCACCTGTCCAGGTGCCTGTGACTCCGGCTCCAACAAGGCCTGTGCGGGGTGCACCCAGCCACAACGAGCCTGCCATTGAACCTGGTCCGTCGAGAGGCCGATCTGGTCAGGATGGTACACCAACAGGGGGAGGCTTCTCTGCCAGGTTGGCTGGAATGTTCGCCTCGGTCGTCCGCAATAGCACTAGGAGGCGTACCAGCGGCATCTCCATCAACGAGCCCTCCAGTGAAGATTTGGGTTTCGACCGCATCAACCGAGGAAAGAACGCAGCGGTTGCCGGACCTGGGAAGGAGGGGAGAATGAAGTACGTGGAGGAGTTGACTGAAGTCTTGTTCAACAAGTCCAAGCACGACCTTGAAGAACTCTGCAAGAAGGACAAGATAAAATATGTGAACAAGAAAATTACCTATGTTGCACTGGTGCGGCTGCGAGGTATTGACGCGTATGGTGAAGAATCAGAGGAGGACGAATCTGAGGAAGATTCTCAAGAGGAGAACCCTTCCTAATAATCCATCAAGGACTCCTCCTCATGGCTCGAACTAGAGAATGTAAGACGAGAAAGGAAGACTAAGGGCTGGCAGGGGAGTGGAGCACGTGTTCTAGACCTATGTAACACCCGCGGACGCGTCCACGGGTCCGATCTCGGATGGCGGACGCAAACGCGTCCGCGACCGACCAGAATTTTCCTGAATTAAATAATAGGTAAAATATATATATATATATATATATATGGGTTGTAGGGAATTTTAAGCCCTACAACCCTTTTTTTTTTTTTTTTGAATCCGACTTTGTTTAGGATGTAAAAAAAATCAAAAACGAAATAGGATTTAAAATATATATATCGTCATCGTCACAAACAGAACTGCCCGGTAAACCGTAGGCAGAGAGAGAGAAGAGAACAACAAACGAGAGGCTAAAGAAAAGCAGAAATTTTTTTTGGTCATTTTTTATCATGAGATATATGGTCCGTGAGTTTACCTGTATTTTTTTTAGAAATGAATTTATGTTTTTTGCAGAAGTATGAGGTGTTTTG